CACATTGTGCACATGTACCCTAGAACTTAAAGTAAAACATAAACAAATAAATAAACAAAGAACAAAGATTTATCGGGGTGTCCAATCTTTTGCCTTCTCTGGGCCACACTGGAATAAGAAGAATTGTCTTGGGCCATACATAAAATACGCTAACACTAACGATAGCTGATGAGCTTTAAAAAAAAATCGCAAAAAAGTCACAATGTTTTAAGAAAGTTTATGAATTTATTTTGGGCTACATTCAAACCTGTCCTCAGCCACATGCGGCCTGCGGGCAGAGGGTTGAACAAGCTTGATTTAGATATCTTTTGCCATCCTCTCCCCCACGAAAACACTCCCTAGTCTCCACCTTCTCAATATAGTTACATTGTTATTAGTTTGGTTATATCAAAATCATTTCACATTATTGAGATTGTTTATATTCTATTAACAGCTGAGCTAGGTAGTAAGCTTGGTTTTTTTTCTTTTCTGTACAGCTTTTTCTTTCTGTTAGATGTCATATTATTTTCTTTTTACTTGCTGGAATATATGTGTTCTAATCAAAATTCATCCCCAAACTCTCCTTCACTAGTAAGTAAACCTCTTCTAAATAACACTCAGATGCATTGTTTTTCTTTTTCTGAGCAATATCCTCTGAAGATTCAGCCTGGATCTCCCCTGTAGCTGCTGTCTGGGAAGTTCTGTTCCCTCTGCTTCCGCTTCTGTTACATCCTTTGTTTTGGTGGGGCCATGTCTTCATCCTTCTGGGTTTACTTCCACATGTGGCGTGGCACATTCCTCGACAGTTTTGAGGAAAGGGAGCATTGGAAGGAAATTTATTGAAAACTTCCACACATAAAAATATCTTTATTCTTCTTCACATTTGTTGCTTCTAGGTTGCAATCATTTCTCCTCAACATTTTAATGGGTATTCTTCATTGTTTTCTAGCTTATAATATTACTGTGTAGAGTTCTGATAATATTCTGATTTTTGAGCTTTTGTATAAAACCTGTTTTTTTTCCCTCTCTGAAAGTGTTCAGGTCTTTTTTTTTTGTCTCCTGTGATCTGAAATTTTGCAATGATGTGTCTAACTATGGTTTTACTTTCATCCATCCTACTGAGAATTTGATGGGCAATTTCAATAGAGAATATGATGTTTCTTAGTGATCAACATTTTTTCTCCATTTATTTATTTAATGCCCTTCCTTCTGCTTCTTTCCTCTTTTTTTTCTGCAAAATGTACTCAAGTTTTGAAACTCTTGGTCTTGTCCTCTAATCCTCTCTTTTCTAATTTACATCCATTTTTCTTTAATTCTACTTTCTAGATCATTTCCTCAACTTTATCTTCCAATCCTTCTATTGAAGCATTTTATTAATGATGTTTTAAATTTCAAAGGTATCTTTTGGTTGTCTGTGTGTTCCTTGTTACAACACTCACTTTATAGAGGCAATATCCTGCTTGAGGATAAAACTGATTGTCTCTTAAGTCTCCTGCCTTCTAGTATGATTTTCTCTCCTAGTTTGTATTTCTCTGTTTGTTTCTTCATTGTTCTAGGTGAGCTTATACCACAGGACTCAAGGTGAGACCACACTACCTCTCTCTGCATTTTACTTTTTTCTTTTTGGCCTCTGCGTTTAATACTGGAAGCTTTTGTAAAGTACTTTAACGATTCTAGACTGTTTGCTTTTATTTCAGACTGAGACACTAAAAAGCTGATTTGATGGTTGGATTGTCTGTGTATTAGGTGAGGTATGAGGACTCTTGGCCTTCCTGTAGAATGATTACCTGGAAAAATAATTCCTTAGCAAAGTTCAAAGTCAGTATCTTCAATGTTTTCTCCTGTTATAATCAGATCCTCCAGAGATGCCTATTCAAACTTGACATGGGTTGGTTGTGTCCGTACCCAAATCTCATCTTACATTGTAGCTCCCATAATTCTCATGTGTTGTGGGAGGAACCCAGTGGGAGATACTTGAATGATGGAGGCTGTTTCCCCCATACTGTTCTCATGGTAGTAAATAAGTCTCACAAGATTTGGTGGTTTTACAAGGGGAAACCCCTTTCATATTGTTTTCACTCCCTCTCTTGCCCGCTGCCATGTAAGAAGTCCCTTTGCTCCTCCTTCGTCTTCCACCATGATTGTGAGGCCTCCATAGCTATGTGGAACTGTGGTTCCATTAAACCTATTTTTAAAAAATAAATTACCCAGTCTTAGGTATGTGTTTATCAGCAGCATGAGAATGGACTAATACAAGACTCTTGTAAAAATGTAAGACTTGCTGCCATTGTTATATGTTAACTTTCACTAAACCTTTTGTTTTCAGGATGGGAAACCCTCTACCAACTGATTCTGGTGTCTCTCAGTCCCAATATCCCATCTTTTCCCATATCTCCATATAATCTACTAGTAGGATGAAGGAAAGGACATTTGCTTGGCTACTTGGAATTAGAGAGGTACCTAGGGGACCAGCTGCTTCCTAAATTGGACTTGAATCAACTCTACTATTCAGTCCCATATTCACCCAACTTCTTATGGTACCTAGTGCTGTGAAGTGTTGAGTCTCTTGGGGGATTCTGCAGTGTAAAGTAGGTTGCTTCTTGTTTTTTTTTCCCCCACTGCTTGCTTAATATTTAACTTTCTCAGGTCTTCTAAGTCAGTTCATCCCACCCCACCTGCTTTCCAAAGTTGTGTTGCTGTTATCTCTTCTCTCGTTCCCTATCTGTGAAATTTCATGTCTGTGACCTCCAGTGATCCCTCCCTCCTGGTGTTCACACCTTTTGAAATGCCCTCCCCTTGATTGTGGCCAGGACCTGTGACTTGGTTCTAACCTCTGAAATATGGCAAAAGTTATGGGTTGTCACTCTCCTAATTATCTTACATTATACAAGACGCTGTCTTAAAAGCAGACGGGAGTTAGAGACTCTCCTTGCAGGCTTAATGTTGTAAGTGGCCAAGTTGGAAAAGCCCATGTGGCAAAAAAAATATGGGTGGCCTCTAGGGTCTGAGCGTGGACTCTAGCCAATCGTCAGCAAAAAGCCACCATTCTCATTCCCACAACCACAAGGGAACAAGTTCTGCCAACAACCTTAATCAGGTGGAAGTGAATTCTTCCCCACCTGAGCCTCCAGATGACATAACAGTCCATCCAGTACCTTGATGACAGCCTTGTGTAACCCTGAGCAAAGCACAAGCTTAGCTGTGCGTGGAATCCATCCACGACCACTTTGAGATAATAAATGTGTGCTGCTTTAAGCTGCTGAGTTTGCCGCAATTTTGTATGCAGCGGTAGAAAACTATCATAATAGAAATGGAATAAACTATTATAATAGAAAACACAGTAATAGAAAATTAATACAATGCCATTCACTTTTTTACTATTTTATTGTTGTTTTAGTAGCATTTTGAGGTGAATGTATGCATAATCAGTGAATTAGACAAGCATGCACATACATGATATCTGATCAAACTTTTTTGTCTCTCATCATCCTCATAAAATTTATTCAGTGGGAAAAGCTTTTTCTTCCATCAGATACATTCCAGTTATACACCAACATACTCAGGTAAGAGCAACATTTTGGTCATTTTAAATAGTTTGGTAATTATGACTCCCAGTCTCCTATACTAAGAAGAAACAACAATAATTTAGTACTAAATTTTCCTTCCCTCCCCAACTGAGTCTTGTGTTGAGTTGCCTACTTGCACTAGCGCATCTTCCCTTGCTGGTTGACATTTTTGCTAAGCTTTTCTTCCTTTCCTTCCACCCCACCTTGGGCACTGAGGTTTCTGGCCTCCCCTTCCCCAAGGTCCCAGAAAAAAAGAAATTTGTCTTATGAGCTAGGGCCACCTTCACGTGGTTTCAGGGGTCTCTGGATAGTAATTGTGTATAATAAGAGAGAGAGCATTCAAGAACTCCCATAGAAATTCTCATAGCCTTGACTTCTCATCTTTAGCCTGTGCAGATTCTTTTGTATTCCAGATGGTCATTTGTGACTCCTTCCTCATCCCACAATCTGGCTTCACCTTCACTTCTTGATGCTGGGTTCCCTCCATCTCTTTGGGCAACCCCATCAGAGAAGACCTAAAAGAGCCCCATGCTGACCTTCACTCTTGCATGTCTCACCATGGTTCATGGGAAACACACATCCATTGCCCTGACAAACACTAGACATGCAGGCTAGTCTCAACACAGAACCCATTCAGGGCTCTACTACCAGAGCTGTGGCCACAATTCTAGGCAAGGATCAGAGTTCCACCAATCATGCACCCTAATTGTTGTGGTTCCATAGAAAGCTATCTGAGAAATCTTCTCTCACTAAATTTGAGGTCAAGGAGCAGACATTCCTCCTTCTCTCAGTTTTGGGGGTAGGTAGAGTGAGAAGGCTCATAGAGCATTTTCTGCGAGGAAATCTTTCTCTTAAAATTCTCTGTTGCCTCTTGTATTTATTTGTGGGGTGTAGAACCATCTGACTGGTCCTCAGTCATTTCCTTTGAACATCTCACTTTCATATTTCATACCTGCTGCACCTTGGTGCCTTGTGGAAATCTAACGTTGAATTTCTTTTAGGTATGCTTATTTAATTGACCACCACTAACTAGAAGTTCCCCCAGCTGTCTTTATTTGCATCGCATGAAGGCTTTCCATGTCAGGAGGCTAGGAGACACTCCTTAAGCCTCTCAAAACAGCAAGGATGAATCAAAGGTTTGGGTTCCTCTGGGCACTATGGTCAGGGCTGAAACTCAGGTAGGTGAGCCAAATATGATGGAAGTATGGAAGAGAAATGTTGCTTCACGTAGTATCAACTCCTGCTGCTCTATATGTCATCCAAAAGTGGCACTGGCCATACAAGAAAATAACTTCCACAAAGTGCCTATGGTGTATTATGAAAGAAAATAAGGATGTTTTAAGGTACCTCCCTGGAAGCTGACGACCAAATTCTCCCTTAATTTCTCTCTTACATAGAATTCTGGGAGTGGTGAACTGTGTAACTGACCTCATAAAGATTTACTAGAGCCGTAGGTAATTTTCAAGGCTTTTATTGGCTGTAGAAATGGTCTGGGAGACAAAAGTCCTAAAAATCCCCAATTCCACTTAACTGACTTCACAATCTTTGGCAAGTCACTTTACCTCTCTAAGCCCCCATGCCCTCATCTCTGCACTAGGTCTGCCTTGACACTTCGGTTTGCAGGGTGTGGGACCAGATGAAAGTGCCTTGTAAACTGAAAAATGCCACATTACATATCAAATCACATTATTATACTTTCTGATAAATGGTTACAAAGCTATCTGAAATGGAAGTTTTCATTTTATTTCTGAATAACTTTCAATGTTAAGTGATAGAACCTAAAAAGCAAAAGCAAACATAAAATTCAACTGGAAGATTTGAAAGACAAATTTTTTTTCCTAGGAAATTTGCACTAATAACTTTTCCCCACGCCCCCCAACCAGTAATTTTTTAACAAGAAAATGAACATGGCCTATTAATTTATCTAAAGCTATTTCATCAAATTTTCTTACTTCAATCCAGATTATTGGAAATGGCATGTGAACAGTGCTGTTTTATGAAAATAGAAACCATATTTATGGTCAAGGTACAACTGATACAATTTCCAGCAAAACCTGCTTTTCTGCATTTATGGAGCACTTTCTTTGAATCAAATCACATGGAAATAAATCTTCTTTTCATTTAATTGAAGACAAAAGGGAGCAGTAATGAAACCACTGAGACATTCTTGTTTTATTCCCAGACCCCTAAATCAGAAAACCCGATCGAATACTGAGCATAATTTCTTCATTGACATTTATCTCTAAATGTCAAGTTGTTTTGAAAATTTTTTCTTGATTTTATGGTTCCTTGCCTTATTCAGTTGAGAAAAACTAAGTTAGCATGATGTTGTTGGAGGAATCCCCAGTATGAGAAAATGCATAATGGCCTGAAGGGGAAAAAGAGGATAATAATTATTGCTACTCTGTTGAAATCAAGCATGAGACCAAAACGAAAATTAGCCTGTAGATTATTTTACAATCAGGAACAGTTTCAAAAAGATTCTAGGGAAAGACAAAAAAATGTGTTTGGTGGAGAGAAATAGCATTTCACTGACACCCCAGAAGCTTGCATTTGTCAAGTATCTCTTATTTGAGAAATATCATGTTTTTCAAATATTGCTGGGAAATGATATAAAGTAGATTGCGATCACAATATGTTATTGCTGGAAGAATCTTAGTAATCTCTTAGCTTTTTATTTTACAGGTGAGGAGCAAATGCCCCCAAAAGGTAGAGACTTATAAAAAGCACTCAAGCTAACTGGTGGTAACAACAGAACCCAAGGGTCTGGGACAAGCACATTCTCCAGACACTTGAACTTCATCTGGAATTTGAATAATTTAAATGGGAATATAAAATGAGTTTCTCATTTTCCTGCGTTAATGATGACATTAATATAACTGAATGTGAAATGGGACTTGAACTCTTAAGTATGATTTCAACTTAACTTGTAAGGCAGTGTCTCCTCCTCCACTTCTATGTTCCAACCTTCTCTCTCCTCCAAGAATGCTGTGACTACTTGCAATGTTTAAACACTGGTCTTGCAGTTGCTGAATAGCACAGACTTTAGTAACCGCCAGTCAATGAACATAGGGCCAATGCATGTCACAGGTGGAGGAGACAGTGCTCTTTCACTCTCCAGGTGTGGCCCCTTCCTGCCTAGGGGCATTTTAGGGAGGAGGACATGTGCAACATCAGGGCACAAGCACCTGGCCACATGCCCACTGCTTGGCAGCTGGCACACAGGGGTGATTCTCCAGTAAGGACATAAATGGTGTTAGTCTAACCACACTCCTTCCCCTCAAGGCCTCCATGATCAATGCCACAGATTTATATAATGTCAAACTGGGGAAATAGAGATAATTTGTGATGACCTTACATAAAGATACTCTCTGGTTCTCTATGAGCATCAAGTCGCCTACATTGTTCTGTCAGCCCTGAGCGCAGCCCAGATGAACTCTGAAAACATGGCTGGCTGATAATCCCACACTTCTCACATGAGTTTCTTAGATGTTGCCATTGAAGTTTCTTCATATGGTACACTCATATTCTCTTTTCACACCTTTTATAACCTTTAGTTTAACTGTAACTCACCTTTGTTTTTCAGTGGGTTGAAAAGATTTGAGAATTTGGATTTGGCAGATAAATCTGATGAGTTTTGCTGTAGAAAAGAAAAATGAGTTATTTGGATGTTAACAGCATTCTTTTACTGTTGGTCTGTATTTCCTGACTTCCTGATGTCATTAATGATTCTTTATTCCATTTTCATAGGTGTTATTCTCTTTTCAAGAATTTAGAATGGTTACTTTCTCACTTTCTTCTGCTTTAATCTATTTAAAATGCCTAAAAATGTATTTCCAAGTGAATACTGTGTTCCTGTATATTTTTGCAACTTCTAACAACAAACTAAAAAACAATTTTAAAGGTGGCGTTACCCCTTTCCATGTCTATGCTTACATTTCTTTGGATCACATTTGTTAATAGAAGAGAAACCCATGGAGGAAAAACAGTGCTCCTACTAAAAATGGCTCCCAATAAAGCTTTGTTTTACTCTTGCTCATCTTAGCTCTCAAACTTACTTGTGAATGACACTTTGGTCATTATTACAGAGGCTATATAGAGTTCAATAATTTAAAAGCTGAATTATCAAATTAAGTAAAATATTTGAAACAAAAAGCATGTACTTATTGGGAAAGATAAAAGTGTTTACATACGTTATACATTTTTCCACTCATTAGTTCATCATTCATTTGTCCATTAATTTACCATCTCATATTGAATGCCTTTGTGTGCCAGATGCTGTTCTAGGCACTGGGAATATTGGAAGGAAAAAATTTCATTCCCTGCTACAGTCTATGCCACGAGGAAACCAAACCAAGGTGGGAAAAACATGTTCTTATAATATTCAGTAGATAGACCAGTGATAGTTTTTCAATTTTCACTGGTATTAAGGCACACTGGGCTCTGAAAAAAAAAAGCCACAAAAATAAGAATTAAAAAGATTTGAAACTTTCAAAGCAAAATAATTAATTTTCTGGAATTCAGGACTCAGCAAACATTTAATGCTAAAACCCTTAAAAAAATCCTAAGGTCAGGGATCATGGCACTTAAAATTGCATCCTGTACCATTTGGAGATAGGAATCTTAGGTTGCAACATACTCAACATGCTTCCCTGTTGTCTGGGAAGAAGCAGCCTCTTCAGGTTTGTGAAGTTATATGGGTCAAAGCAGTTGGCCAAATAACAGGCTCTGAGTTACTGGAAGTCAGATATAGGTCTGTAAATCTATTCTTTGTAGAGGGGGATCTGTCAAGGCCACCAGAGTCTGTATCTTGAAGAATAGTTACAGAGAACATGCCTAGGGACAATGGAGGGTCAAGACAGGGGCCTGAGCATGGAGAGGATTTGGGGTCCATACAATGTGCTGTGGCTTGAAGGATGGTCTTTGCTGAGACTATTGCTAGCTCCTCTTTCATTCCCTTCAGTCAACTATCATAGTCTCACTTAACTCTTTCAACCAATTGCCAATGAGAAAATCTTTGAATCCACCTATGACGTGGAAGCCCTCCTGCCCCTACTTCAAGTTGTCCCATCTTTCTAGACATGTACTGACTGATGTTTATGTCTCCCTAAAATGTATAAAATCAAGCTGTAATTCTCCCATCTTGGGCATACATTCTCAGAACCTCCTGAGGCTGTATCATGGCTCATGATCCTGAACCTTGGCAAATAAACTTCTAAATTGATTGAGACCTGTCTCAGATACTTTTTCAGTTAGAATCCCAATCTATTCATGTTGCTCCTCCTGCATCAGTATGGTATTTCCTGTGCCAAGCCAAGCAGCTAATGCCTCCATCTTCAATCCAGCCATTCCCTCTGTCTTCCCAGAAGTCCTCTTCTGCCCATTATCCTCTTCTGCCCATTATCCTCGCTCTCTCTCTCTCATTTTTCAGAGTCTCTCTTCACTGGCTCACCCCTCCCAACATACGAACTTGTCACATCCTGGTAACTTCAACTGTAGCCTGTCACTACTGTCCTGGGTCTACGTCTGGTTAGCACTCTCACTGATTTTGCTCACCAGCGAGTTTCTTGGCAGAATATTCATTAAGTGTTGTCTCTTTCTCACCTTCTCGTCATCTATCATCTGGGGTCCTTGGGGTCCTGCTTTTTCATTCAAACTCTCTAAGAAAATTATGAATGCACATATTTTCTTCTTGAAAAAAATGTATATTGGTTTTAAAACAAATGAGCCACCTAACCAGAAACAAAAATCTCATTTTTGTCACCTAATTTGGAAATAAAATTGAGGAGAAGGTACAAATACAGACACAGCAAAAGCCCTCACTGACCACTGCTGCCTTCTGAGAAGTGTCAGTGCTTGATGTTAGAACCAGAGAGAAATGAAACAGAGAGAAACCGTCAGGCATTCTTGCTTTTGCTTTTGTTTTATTTTACTTGGGAGTATTTTTCCTTTGGTTTTCAAAAGAGAAAAATTTTGACTTTCTGCTTTGCAGAGTGGGGAGTGTCCTGTCTCATTATATTCACTAAAGGCTTTTTCTTTGATGTAGTCACATGTGCTGTAATTTTCTCCTTTTCGTAAGTGTAGATAATGACTCATTAGTTTCACAACTTCTGGTTCGAGTGATTTTTAGTTCTTCCAGACATAAAATCTAAATCCCAGAATGTGAGAACTTCTGCTTTGAATAACTAGTCCAACATTTGTTTTCTACATTTGAGAAAATTGAAACTCAAGAGACAAAGTGACTTTCCTAAGATCACACAGTCAATTGGTTACGAAGTCAGAAATACAAGGGCAGGACTGGTCCTCCTGCTCATGGGCTAGTGATCCCTAATTCACAGCAGTGCTGTCTACTGAAAAATGTAGACCAAGAAAGATTTTTTACTGCCAGAGGAAAATTTCCTTATTGATTTTTATTTCAAAAAGTTATATTGTCACTTGTAAAAATCTCTAAATACCCGTATAGGTTTGGATGCAGTTAAGTCAGTTGACTTTTATAAAATACAGAAATTCTCTGCTTTAGAACTCTTTCTGAAAGGCCCTCAGTGCCTTGCTGAAAAACAAAAGTCTAAATAACATTGAAAACACAAAATACGTGTTCAAGTACTTTTGTTTCTAAATATACTATCCTCATATGGATTATACTTTTATGGCAAAGAATGAAACAGAAATCCTCCATTTCCTTAAAAACTTGTCAGTTTGTAGACTTAAGAGCTAAGATTGCAAATAACAGAATCAGTGATACCAGCCTAAAAAAAGAAAATTATTAATACATAATAATTTTATATATTAGAAGTTGACCAAATTTAAAGACAAGAATGTAACCAAGATCTCCCCTTTTATCTTTCTAGAGAAGGAAAAATGGTTTACAGAAGGTTTGGAAAATCAGATGAAGAAAAGGGCCTTGCTAGTTCTAAATATTGACAAGCAAGTCAGACTAAAGTAAATGACATTGTTCAAAAGCGTTCACTCACAAACACCCACAGACCTCCATACTTAAGCATCCTTGTAAGTTTCCATGACTTCACAGTCATTCATTTAAACACTCATTCACTCAACAACTCTACTGTCGCTCATGTGCCAGGGTCCATGTCAGATACCAGGAATATCATGGTGAAAGAAATTCAAGGGGTTTACACAGAAGTTGACTTGCAGCAAGACGGTATAAAGAGAAGAATGCAAAACTGGAACTTCATGTATTGGATTCATGGCAATAGGAGATAATTACCTTTTCTGTTTGCTTCCAAGAACTTAAGGCAGACAACTTGTTGAACAGAAGTTGTCGCAGCTATAAGGGAAACAAAGAAATATTGAGGAGATACACATACAATCATATGCAGACAAATCAAGAATAACTGCAGCTTGAAATGATTATTTAATAGTATTATTTCCTAGAAGCACTTAGTAGGCCATAAATGGATATCTGGCAGAAAGATTATTTTCTTCATCTCTTTACCTATAAACAAAACCAGAATTCAACAAAGAACAACAGTACCAAATGCCATACTCATTCAGATTTTAGACATTAGTAGTTGGCAATAATTACTAAATTGAAGTGTATCTTTGAAGTGAAGTGAACAGTTTCCTAACCACATGAATGGTAAGACAAGGCAATTATTTAGTACAATTAAGAACAGCAAATTGCTTCTTTGTAGATAGGGGTTTGTTCATGTGCAAAATTGTTCCTATAATTAGCAACAATTTTGCTAATTATAAAATATTTTTATTTTCTTATTAAACCAAAGACTGTACATCTATTAGCTTACTGCCTTCACCTCTCCCAACAGAATTGTTTTATGCTTGGGTTTATGAAACAAGTATATTTAAAAATTTTTTTCTATTATCTTTCACTTAAACTCACTGTTCTTCACTGGGAATTTTATTTAATGTGAGAGGCTATTTATTTGTTTATTTTTCTTCAACAGTATACTTTACTTTTTAAAATATTTTTATTTCCATAGGTTATTGGGGAACAAGTGGTGTTTGGTTACATAAGTAAGTTCTTTAGTGAGATTCTGATGCACCCATCACCTGAGCAGTATATACTGCACCCAATTTGTAGTCTTTTATCCCTCACCCCCTTCCCACTCTTTTCCCTTGAGTCTGCAAAGTCCATTGTGTCATTTTTATGTCTTTGCATCCTCAAAGCTTATCTCCCACATATGAGTGAAAATATATGATGCTTGGTTTTCCATTCCTGAGTTACTTCACTTAAAATAATAGTCTGTGAGAGGCTACTAACATTTACTGCTTAAAACTCTACAATTATAGCAGTAGATATATCTTTCAGCATATTCTAAATAAATGGGTAGACTAATTGAAAGAACAAAAGAGAATTCACCTCTTAGCAAAGCAATTTTGCTATGGAATTACTGCCATACCATAATTTAAATTAGAAAAGTCAAAGACAAAAAGAATTCCCCTTTTTTCCGACAATGTTTACATTACATGTTTGATTAGTTCTGTACAGCTTTATCAGCAGTGACTGTTTAGTTCCTTTGTTTTCTGACTGAGCCTGACCTCTCTAAAAGCACAGAATTTTATTACAAAAGTACCCATAGTCCAACCTCTTATTACATGAATAAAGGCCTCAGAACAAAGGGGAGGGGGCCTAAGATGTCTGGGCTAGGGGTTAATGAGAAAAATAAATGCACATACCTTACTGTCCAAGAGTATTCCAAAGCATAAGATAAAAAATCCCTTAAAAAAAAAGGAATAAATCACATGTATTGTATTTTTCTTTTCCAAAAAAGAAAGCATTTATATGTAACACTATTCACCCCACATTGAAACTGCTTTCTTATCTGTCTTCCTAAAAGACTGTAGTCTGCTTGAAAGCAAGAACACCGTGCGGCCTCCACAAGTGCATGGCACTATGCAAAAATTTTTTTGTTGATGTCTAAATAAGCAAATGACCCGGTGAATGAAGTTTTGCATGTGGAGCTTCATTCTCCCCTATTGTACCGTCCCAACCCAAAACAAATAGCATCCTTTTCTGTCTGTATCTTAGTCTTTCTTTAGACCAGGCATTTAATGTCTAAGCATCTATGATGGCAGTAGGCACAGAGATCCAATCCTATGGCCAAGTGGAGGGATTTGACCTATAACAGCACCCTTTCCTTCCAGTACAGGTCTTGGGGAACCCTTGGTAAATGTTTTGATGGACCTTGAATTCCTTCTTTCAGGCATAGCTCCTTCAGTGGGTACTTGTTCAGACAGTGTATCACCATGAGACTGTACTCCTGCTCCCCAACAGGAGCTCCCTAAACTTGTCACTGCTAGGGGCATGCTCTATGATTGCCCTCCATACTTGCACCTGACGGTTCACCGGCTGCTGAATAGATGGAGAACCAACTAGTTTTAGGAAACATCTATTGAGCATTTGTTATTTACCAGACAATGCGACAAGTACTAAATTATCTCATTTAACCCTCATATTTATTTGATGATGTAAGTATTATTATCTCTATTTAAAAGACTAGAGAATTGAGAGACAGAAAGATTAAGCAATGTGCTAGAGGTCAAACAGTTTGTAAAGTGATGTATTTGAGCCCAGACCTATTTAACTCTAGAGCTCAAACGTTTAACCACCACTTCCCTGAGTCATTGTCTGAGGTGGTCCAACAAAACCTTCACTGAACTGGGATCGAAGGCTGTCATCCAGATTCATCAAAACCTAATGACTGCTTTGTCTACCTCCTCTCTGAACACTCTCTGACTGTGCCAAGTAAAAACCCATTCTTTGTAGCAGAGATTAGCAAACTTTTTCTGTGATGAGCCAGGTGGTAAGTACTTTAGGCTTTGTGGGCTATACAGTTTCTTTTGCAACTACTTAACTCTGCCCTTGCAGTGAAAGCAGCCATAGACCATATGTACATAAATAAGCATGGCTGTATTCCAATAAAACTTCATTTACAAAAACAGGCTACTGGTTGCATTTTGCTAGCCCCTTCTCTATTGCACCCTAGGAAATTCCTTTGCACCATTCAGAGTCAACAAGTTCTTATAATATATTTCCCTTTCTCTGTTTATTTTTTTCCCAGAGTTCTGCATAAGAGAAAGAGAACTGAGTCAGCAGCAAGATTGTTTGTCATAAGAACTCTAATAGATTTAAAGCCCTGTAATAGGTTACTGAAGAATTCCAATATTCTGCTTCAGTATGATAGTAACTAAGTAAGAAAAAGAATGTTTTTCTATTTATTGTTTCCATGCAGTTTTTCTGATGGTCTTGCTGGAGGCAGGGAGATGAGATAATCTCTAGAGTGGTTTTATCTATCTGAGTTCTCTACTTATTCCAGTTACTTGACCATACAATAGGTTATTGTTATTGTTCTCACCTGTAATGCATTGAGTAAAGCAAAAATAACATGCCAAACCGGATTCTGGTTGTCCACTAGTGTTCCTATTCCAAAGCCCCAGGTGAGCCCTAGCAGAGGGGTCAGAATGAGGAGGCTCTTCCCCATGCAGACGATGGTGGCCTTGTCATCCCGACTCAGTCTTTCCCCAACAGCCGGCCTCCAGAGCTTTGTGAGAACTAGCAGCACCACAATGAAGTTCACAGCCACAATAGCCAGTGCAGGGACAACAAAAGCCAGGAGTGGTTTGCTTCCATTGGACCAGTTAAGCCAACACACATCTTTCCTTGTGTAGGTATTGCTAGGTTGTGTGACAGCAATGGTAATGACAGATATAATGAGAGGGCACCCATAACCCAGGCAAAATCCGACAGCCACCATCAAATGCCGGGCCATGTGATGGAACACGAGGATGATCCGGTAAGCCAGCAGGATGCCAAGCATGAGCATCCAGAAGAACAAAGAGAGGTAGAAGACATGTGTAAAGAACACAGCAGCTGTACAGACTCCAGAAGAGTGCACCATGGCATCCACTGTGGCACCAACAATAAACCAGATATCAGCAATCAAGAGGGACAGGGCTATGTTCACCATGCAAATATGACGTGTGTGAGAGGTTGGGCTTTTCTTAATCTGCTTCCAAAACAGAGCCTCGATGATCAGGCATAAGATGAGACTTCCAATGGAGATACCCAGTCCCACATAGGTGATCCATTTTACCACGGGGAGGATCGTAGCGGGGACAAAAGGTGACATCAACATGGAGAAGGAGGTCAAGTGAGTACATCGGCACACCACGGTGTCTGGAGTTTCATTCACTAGGTGGCAGCCTGCATTGTTCCACTGCAAATGACTGAAATCCCAAAACACACAATGAGGCTGGCTCAGGTTTGACTCTATCTTGGAAAAAAATAGGAAAACTTCATCTATGGAATAGTTTTGAATAACTGTGGATATCACAGGTCCATTGACCTGAGCATTTCCATTTTTGGAAATGGGTAGAATGTTCCCCAAAGTCAACGAGGCCATGCTGATAATAGTTTCTGGAAGGGATCTCTGGAATTGGTCTTTCCAAATTAACACACGGCCTCTGATGGGAATACTTGAATTTTGGGGTAATATTTCAATCTGATAGCTGTAATCCGTTTTGGGTTGACTTTTGTTCACTGGAATCCCTTTCCAGTTAATGAATTTCCGAGAAAAATTCAGAGGAAGAGCTGTCGGAGGCACCAGAGTGCTGATGTTTTCCAATGTCTGTAGTAACCGTGAGCTGGCATGCTTTTCTTCCTGCAGTAAGACTGTCCAGTTGGTTACTAAGGCTGAATTAAGGATATTGTCAGCTATATTGATGACATCCTGAAACACAAGGATGAAAGTCGGTTTGTGTTTTTGAATAAACAGATAAGAAGACTAGCAGTGGATAGTAATTAGCATTAATTACAGGAAAAATGCCCAGAGAATTGGCTCAGTCACGAACCACATTAAAACTCATCAATCAAATTTAGCTCAGTTCCTCTGTACAGTAGAAGCTTTGGGCAAAATCTTGGGTCAGCAGAATCATGTAAGTTCCAGGGTGATCACCCCAGAGCATTTGTAAATGCACTAGGGCTTCAGGACGAATGAGAAAGCATCCTGTAATTTCAGCTGCACACGTGATGTGCATTTCCTCCTCCCTGAGATGGCAAAAATGACTGCACTGCTATTCAGGCTGAGGCTCAAAGATGCAGACACTACCTTGTACTGCTTTCCCATATTATGTTTGTTCTGCTAACACCAGAAGTTCAAAACTCACATAAGAGATGCTCACATTTTTAGGTTTCTTGTTTTCTACAGTTGTTATGTTTCTTGTTTCCTACCGCATAAAGCAAAACAATTTTTAAAGTCTGGACCCAAGCATTGAACTGTCATGGGTTTTAAGGGTCAGTCTTAGCTTGAGAGATTCATTTTCCAAGCAAATCCTTGGAAGTTGTTACTTTTTCCCAAAGAACCTCTTCTCTTGCTTATGGGGCTGGCTCCCAGACATTCTGCCGCAAGCATCTGTCACTCCAAGTGAGTCTTACCCTGACCCAGCCCTCTCTGCCGTCTAGCCCAGAATCCCATGATTGTTCTACTTCTACTGCCCCTAGAAAACTGTTTTCTTTTGCTTTGTGTTTGTCTGCTTTGTTTTCACTCTTCATTGTATTTTTAGCATTTTTGCGTCATTTTGTTTCAGTTGATCTCTTGTAAACAACATGTGGTCAGGTTTTAAAAAAACAAATTAGAGTATTTTTTCTTTAACGCAAGGAGTTTAACTTACTGATATTTACTGTCACTTCTGAAACAATTTTAATCATATATAGTTAAGTATTATTGTGTGATTTAACATATATTATATAATCCAATTTTGTAAAACATTGTGTCCTTTAACATATAAAATGTATACATCCAAAATGTTTGGAAGGATATTTATTGAACAAATATTTATTGATCACATGCTATATATCACTTGTCATTCTTCTAGGTACCGAGGTGATACCTAAAATGTAAGCTTTTAAAATGTCTATTTTAAAGTGCAGGCTACAGATACTTTATTTTTCTTTTTGCTCATTTGCACTTCCTATAGTGACCAAGTATCATTTATGTAATTTGCAAGTTAATCTTTAAATATCCAACTAAACCATAAATTCTTCAGTTAAGAGAAGTTGTTATGAAGGGAGTTCTTAAAATATACACTGTTCAAGTCTGAGCTTGTGGCCACAGGAAAGAAAAATTATAGACTGCAAACATGTTGAAAAGTCGGTACCTGTGGCACATAATGCAAAAGCTCACCCTCTCCTCTAAGCCAGGTGCTGCCCAGGTAATCTGCATAAGAGCAGCTCCGTCTTCCTTTGAACCCACACAATTGATCCCGAGTTCCTTGTATACCTCAGAGGACACAGTAAAGTTCACATAAGGACTCTTACATGGCTTTCTCTCTTTTCCAATAGTTCCTCATCTTTAAGGCTTTGTCATTCCTCCTACGGGATCAAGCATTTAAAGTGACCCCTAAGCACAGGCAGACCATACCTCCATTGTTGAATTGGACACCCTGAAATGGCTGGCCAGTGACAGAGATGAAACATTGCTCAGAATCGACACCACCGAAGCCAGATTCCCGGCTGTGGTTGATGGGCTTTGCCGAATGATGACGGAAAGATTTTGCACCAAGGATGACACAGCTGCCTCAGTGGCATTGCCTGCAATCATACTGAAACTCTAGAAGCAAAAATGGTTACATTCTAGAAAACAATGACATGCTGTGTTTTATCAAATTTAAATCAAATGTCTTGGCCATATAGAACCAACATTTGTATGGTGTGTTCTAATGTAGGATAATTACATAACAATAGTAACAAAGGCTGTTATTCAGTGATTTCTATATTTTAGACATTGCACTAGATGCTTTACCAGGGATTCATTGATTGAATTCTTTCAACATTCTTTGAGGGAGGCACCATTATTATTTTCATTTTATAGCTAAGGAAACTGAAACTTGAAAAGATTTACTAAAAATCATTTTAATATAAATTATTATCCTAATTATACAGAAACTCATGTTCAATGAGATTTAATGACCTTCCAAAGAGCACTCAGCTGGAAATGTTAGAGTAGGTACTAGTCCTGTGTTATGTTCACCACACTACGCTGAGAATGCTTTGTAAGATGGGAAAAGGGAGAAACATACATGGAGATTTGACTACTGGGCTTGTGCCAGCCCCCGTTTTGTCACAAGATTAGGAGTTTTTTCCTTTTCTTTTTTTGTGACGGAGTCTTGCTCTGTCACCCAGGCTGGAGTACAGTGGTGCAATCTCAGCTCACTGCAACCTCTGCCTCCTGGGTTCAAGAGATTCTCCTGCCTCAGCTTCCTGAGTAGCTGGGATTACAGGCATGCACGCCCAGATAATTGTTTTTGTATTCTTAGTAGAGATGGGATTTCACCATGTTGGCCAGCCTGGTCTTGAACTCTTGACCTTGTGATCTGCCTACCTCGGCCTCCCAAAGTGCTAGGATTACAGGCGTGAGCCACCACACCCAGCCCTAGATTTGGAGTTTTACTTCTTTCTTGAAGCTCCCATCTGCTTCTACTACACTAGGCTAATTTGGAAAGCAACAAAGAAGGGTTGTCCCCTTCCATTCAACATAAGTCCACTTGGGAGCCCAAGTGCCCCCCATTTTCCTTCTTGTTCTTCTCAATGGACAATGCCGTTTTCTGTTCAAGGCACCTGGGATCTGCCTGGAGCGAACTAGTCTCAACTATTGCTCATGTCCAGAATTGAGGCAACGAAGGCAAAAGCAAGAAGAGACCCCAGAAGCTAGCTAATCTAATCCCCTTTCCCAGTTTACAGATGAGGAAACTGAGATCCAGAAAGGGAGAAGTAAACATTCCACAGTCCTCCGATGAATACCATTCTGAGGTTTTCTATTGCATCATCAGCAGCAAGGTCTCTGGTTGGAATAGAAGTTCTGCTCAATATGGAAATCTACTTGCTGAACAGTATCTGTGAACTGGTCTTGGGGTCCTTCTTTTCTGTGACTTGAGTTCTTCTGATTCCTAGATATTTATTTCCTTCTTTCTATCTTCCTTGTCTTAATACTTGAAGCTTCCTAAGAGAGCATCATGTGGAGGGCATAGCACCTGATATGGTTTTGCTCTGTGTCCCCACCCAAATCCTATGTCGAGTTATAATTCCCAGTGTTGGAGGTGGGGCCTAGTGGGAGATGATTGGATCATGGAGGTGGTTTCTAATGGTTTAGCACCATCCCCCACGTGCTGTTTCATGATACAGTTCTCACAGGAACTGGTTGTTTAAAAGTGTGTAGTACCTCCCCCATTCTCTCTCTCTCTCTTTCTCTCTCTCTCTCTCTCTGTCCTGTCACCATATGAGGATGTGCTTACTTCCCTTTCACCTCTTGCCATGATTGTAAGTTTCCTGAGGCCTCCCCAGATACGCCTTCTGTACATCCTGCACAACGGTGAGTCAAACCTCTTTTTCTTTATAAACTACCCAGTCTCAGGTAGTTCTTTATAACGATGTGAGAACAGACTAATACAGCACTGGACTGGGAGTCAGGTGACCATGCTTCTAATTCAAAACTGTTGCTACCAAAGGAACTATTGACCCCTTGGTCTTTTGTTTTCTGATCTGTAAAATGAGGTTGGTAAACCAGATGCCCCTTAAGGTCCATTGCAGTTCAGTCATTTTATAAGGTTCACCTTTGTCTGACCCACTCCTTGCCCTAATTTCTGATATAGATATATTCTTACTTGTACGAAGCCTGCTAGCTTATGACTCACACCTTCACTCCTCTTTAATTCCCAGGTCTTCTGAACTTCTGAGGCCAGTTTAGTTGCTGCTCTACCATCCATCACAGACCTCCTCAGCATTGATACACTCCTCCACAACACCTCTGCCTGAGAAAACTATCAGCTCTGTCTTTTGAGTTGCAACCTAGACTCTGCTGTCCAGACGCTATCACCCATGCACGACTCCACGGGTTCACCAAGGTCTGATGTCTCCTTGCTCTTTGCATACTGGCCAGTTATGCACGTAGGTATACTTACCCTCCACCTAGCCATGCTAACTGGGAGATTGCCACTCTGAAACTCGAAACCAGGGCAAGTCTACAAAGTGAAAATGCCTCACCTTCTTCAGCTCTTCAAGCTGAGGGAGCACGCAAGTCTCCCTTATGGCCTGCCACCCAGATGATTGGCACCTGGCTGTGATGCTTCCCCTGTAGCCACTGCTGCAGGGCAGGGTATATTCATCATCCTTGGACCCAAATCCAAAGACAATGTCATTACACTGGGCTGGAAACAAAAGAAGACAACGAAGAAAAATGATCCTAGAATATCCTAGCACTCTATATACACCATGTAGTCATATTTAACTGTTTTGGAAGTCATATTTTTGGAGATGAAATCCAGGCAAAATTCAGAAGTAGGAGAAGTTTGTCTTTGATGCCCAGCTTCCTGACCCCTCCTTCCAGGTGTCTGATCTGTGCCAACAATATCACCTTTAATGGGCTATCAACTAGTAAGTATTAGGTGATAATAAGGAATGATGTGAACACTCTCAGGAAATATTTTTACTCTTTAAAGGAACATTAGAAAGCCAGACAATTTTCCAGACACTATAGAATAAAGCAGTAATGATATGGTTAAAAGATGGGCAATTGTTATTTGTGAGTAGCACTTCCTACCTGTACTCCTTTAAGCATTTCTCACATTGCAACCAATTGGTACTCTTGCTGATGGCTCTTAGTAATGCATTCTTACCATGATTGGAACTAGGAGATAGAGACATTAACTAAAAGATCCACAAGGGCTATGATTTTTTTTTTTTTTTGAGATGGAGTTTCACTCTTGTTGTCCAGGCTGGAGGACAGTGGTGTGATCTCTGCTCACTGCAACCTCTACCTCCCAGGCTCAAGTGATTCTCCTGCCTCAGCCTCCCTATATCTGGGATTACAGGTGCACATCACCATGCCTGGCTATTTATGTATGTATGTATGTATGTATGTATTTATTGTGACCAAGTCTTGCTGTGTCGCCCAGGCTGGAGTTAAGTGGAGCGATCTCGACTCACTGCAACCTCCACCTCCCAGGTTCAAGCGATTCCCCTGCCTTGGCCTCCCAAGTACCTGGGATTACAGGTGCATACCACCACACCTGGCTAATACTTTTTTTTTTTTTTTTTCAGTAGAGGCGGGATTTCACCACGTTGGCCAGGCTGGTCTCAAACTTCTGATCTCATGCAATCTGCCCGCCTTGGCCTCCCAAAGTTCTGGGATTACAAGCGTAAGTCACTGCGCCGGGCCTGGCTAACTTTTGTGTTTTTAGTAGAGACAGGGTTTCACCATGTTGGCCAAGCTGATCGTGAACTCCTGACCTCAAATGATCTGCCCACCCTGGCCTCCCAAAGTGCTAGGATTACGGATGTGAGCCACCGCACCCAGTCAGGGTTAAGATTTTTGTTTGTTTTCACCATTGCTGAATTTTAACTATGTAGACACTTTGGACTCTCCGTAAATATTTATCGAATAAATGTTGTTGAAAGAGAGTGGTACAAATTTTGGTAGGAAAGGCGTAAGACTGAATGTAAAAGGAAAAGATAAATATATGAAGAAAAACTCTGTGTGTGTGTGTGTGTGTGTGTGTGTCTGTCTGTCTGTGTCTGTCTGTCTGTCTTTATATGTGTTAAAGACATGATTTCTTGGATTGCGACTTAGGAATATTGTCAGCCTTAGGACGCTTTCAACACGTATACCAGTCAACTATTGCTGAGCCCTTTCCCTCACAGCCTGCAGGGAAGTCAGTTCTCCACACTGTTTACACTAAGAGGTACAGATCAGATTTCCAACTAGCAAGAATTTGAAATAGTCAGTTGAAGTTAAGTTGCATCATGGCGGGGTGCGGGGAAACAGCTGCCTGTTTGTACTGAAAGGCAGTTAGAGAACAATTCTTTATTGAAATGTCTCAAATCTACTTCCTGAGGACACAAATGAACTACTAATTAAAGGGGTCTCTTAACCTAAGCAGAGGATGGGAATCCAGCATTACCTTTTCTGAACACTCTGAAAGAGCAGTCTTCTAATGGAAACAGCATGTGGAGGTCTGTCTTAGCCTTCTCGGCAACCTGTTCAATGGCTGACAGCAGTTCAGATGCACTGCTGGAACCAACAACTTCATACCCAGCAACGATGCTTCCATTTCTGCAGTGATTATGGGGAAAGAGAAATGAGATTCACTACTTATTCGTTCATTCACTCAGGGCCTATGATATGTGTACATGGCATTGGGTCCACAGGAATAAAGCAAACAGAGCTTATATTCTAGTGGACAAGGCAAGGCAAATAAAAAACAAGTATCCACCAAAAATACATACATACATATATATAAATTTATCTGTATATATACTTACCTTCCACCTAGCTATGCTCACTGGGAATATCTATATATATACAGATATAATTATGGGACCCCACATTAAATAAAGCTGGTTAGTGAAGGCTTTTTTGTGCTGAGGGTCTTTGAAGCTGAGGCCTGCGGCCAGCTATGCAAAGAAAAAAAAGCCAGCTATGCAAAGAACATTGGTGTGGAATGTCAGCACGCGTAAAGGTCCTGAGGCAGGAAAATGCCTGTGAGTTTGACAAGCTTAAATACTAGGATGATTGAAATTCAACAGCAAGGGAACAATAGCAGGAGATGATATTGGAGTGGTACCAGGAGCCAGATCTCATAGGACATTAGAGTTGGGATTTCATTCTTTATTAACAAGTTTTCTTCTTTATTAAAAGGTAGTGGCATCATAAGATTTATCTTTTAAGACCATAAGGGCTGCTGTGTAGAAAACAGATGGAAGGGAAGCCAGCAAGGAACAGGGAACCCAGTTAGGAAAGAGCTGGTGGTGGCTTGAACTAGTTGGGTAGCTGTGCATGTGGTCAAATTCAGGTTTTATTTGGAGCTAGAGCCATAGAACTTACTAATGGAGAAGATTTGGGGTATGAAAGAAAGAAATTAGTCAATAATTCCAAGGAATGGAAAAGCAAGTTTTTGTATATTCTTACAATGGAGTACTACTGGGCTACAAGAAGGAAGGAGCCACTGATAGAAAAATGAGGATGAATCTCAATGACATTATGCTGAGTGAAAGAAACCAAACACGAAAAAAAAAAACCTGGATTATTCTATTTACGTGAAGTTCTGGAATAGACTAAACTTTTGGGGTTGTGAGAATGCTCCATCTTGATAGGAAGGGACTTGCACAAGCTTTTGTCAAAGCTGCTCGAGTTGTACCCAAAGTTTGAACACATAACGGTGTGCAAGTTACACCTCAATAAAAGAAATTATAGCACAGGATGGCTCCAAGGATTGGGTCTCTGCAAGTGGAAGAATAGCATTGCTGTAATGGAAGTAGGGAAGACAGTGGGAAAAATAAGTTATAGGTTAGGAAGGGGAGAGTCAGAGGATTCCCAGTTTGAACATGTGACATTTGACATGCCAGCTGGAAAACCAAGTGGAGATTTTCAAGTAGGCAGTTGGATATTTGGGTCTGGAGTTCAGGGGAGTGCCCAAGCTCAAGTAATAAATCTAGAATCTATCAGCATACAGATGTGTTTGAAACCATGAAAGCACAAGATCACATATATTAAGTCAATCCTGCAATAATAAATCACAAGATAAGCAGTGTATCATTCCCATTTTATAGATAAGAGAACTGAGGCCCAATGAGAAGTTGGGTCAGAAAATTATTCATTACTAATTGATCAGAAGCTCTGCAGCTCAAATTCGTACTACATTGAACTTCTGCTCACAATGTATAAATAAGTGCAGACACCCTTTTGTGTAATGATGGTCACAATACCTTTGCATCGATATGTCCCTTCTATTGATTATGAAGTATTTTCCTGCTTATTATTGATTTGATTTAATGAAGTTAAACCAGGTTCCACAGGTGTATAACTGTCCTGTTTGACAGATAAGTAAATACAATGAGAGATTAAGATTTATTTTAATCTGGGCATGGTGACTCATGCCTGTAATTCCAGCATTTTGGGAGGCCAAGGTGGGTGGATCATTTGAGGCCAGAAGTTTGAGACCAGCCAGGTCAACATGGTGAAAACCTTCTTTATTTTTCAAAAGAATTTTTTAAAAAGACATTTATTTTAAATCTTATATGCAAAACGTAAAACTTTAGACTGGGCTTGGTGTCTCATGCATGTAATCTCAGTATTATGGGAAGCTGAGGTAGGAAGATCGCTAGAGCCCAGGAGTTTAAGACCAGCCTGAGCAACGTAGCAAGACCTCAACTAATTAGCCAAGCATGATGGCACATGCCTGTGGTCCTAGCTACCAGGGAGGCATAGGTGGAATTGCTTGAACCCAGGTGGTCAAGGCTGCAGTGAACTGAGATCGCACCACTCCACTCCAGCATGGACAACAGAGTGAGACCCCATATTAAAACAAAATGAAGCAAAACAAAAGTAAAACCTCAAAAGTTGTAGTTATAGACTTGTGCCTACTTTTACTGTGAGTTTGTCTACAAATTATTGCAGACAGCTTATAAGATATACATGATAGAATATAAAGTAGAAGTATATATAGAAAACAAGGATCACAGAAAAGAAAAATATGAATATTGAAAGTATGATTAACTATATAAATCTCAATATAAAAAAAAGAAGCAGTGTTTTTGCTAGTATTGAATTTTAAAGAAAACTATACATGTATGACTTAAAAGGACAATGCCCAGGACAATGTGTTTATAGCAAATGCTGTTGAAAATTTTCTATGGGTCGGCCGGACGTGGTGGCTCACACCTGTAATCCCAGCACTTTGGGAAGCCAAGGCAGGCGGATCATGAGGTCAGGAGATCAAGACCATCTTGGCTAACACGGTGAAACCCGTCTCTACTAAAAATACAAAAAAATTAGCCAGGCATGGTGGTGGGCACCTGTAGTCCCAGCTACTCGGGAGGCTGAGGCAGGAGGATGGCGTGAACCTGGGAGGTGGAGGTTGCAGTGAGCTGAGAATGTGCCACTGCACTCAAGCCTGGGTGACAGAGCGAGACTCCATCTCAAAAAAAAACAAAGAAAAGAAAAGAAAAGAAAAAGAAAATTTCCTATGGGTGTTTTTAAGTTAACTGTGAAAAAAATATAACAAGTCAAGTTCTCTGACCTCTAAGCCACTTTCTCTAACAAGCAGACAGACTATTAATAGTTGGTAATTAATGTACACATAGATAACTAACTAAACAACTTTTGGAATTAAGGCATAAACAAAAAGATAATTTACTAAATATTTCTTTATTTGCTGTAAACAATGACTACTGGGTTTTGAACTATGATGTATACATGATGTCTGTGCAAAGATATTTCACCCAAAGCCCCACTTCTGGCTCCGAATTATGAGGCATCATATCTCCTGTGGTTGCTGAAGGAGAAAATCCACCCTTCGACAACCCACAACCCTTATCCCCAACCCTCACTTTTT